ATAATTGAACTGATTAAAGTACTGAACTGACTGACTGAAAACTGGAACTGAATTGACTGAGTATGTGTGTTAATCTGTATTCTATCTGTTTGATTGTTTACTTGATCTGTTCATGTTTTATGTTCAAACTGCTAATTGGAGGCCTTATCGGCGGCCGAGCCGGGAATTGATTGATGTTTTATGATCATTGTAATTTATGTGATTTTATGGTATAGTTATCCGAAAATTGATCTGGTATGATTAAATTAGATTAAAATGAGCCAATTAAAGAGTTAGGCTTAATTACTAAATTGCCATCCTAGTGGGTCACTTACTTAATACTTTGAGGACTCATTCTTATGCATTACAAAACATTTGCTCAGCTCATTCCTTGCCTTTGCCGACCAGAGAGAGAGAGATAAGGGAGAGAGTTAGATTTCATCTCACTTTGCTTGGTCTTGCTTGGAAATTAAGAGGATTGAAGTATAAATTTGCATAATTGAGCTTCCTTGCTTATAATTCAAGACTTAGGTAAGAGAATTTAACCTTCTAGTAATGTATTTGAACTTGTTCATGCTTAGTTCTTGAGCCTCTAGTGATTTGAGCCTTGATTGGTCCATGTATGTTGAATTGGAGCCTAGTTCATCAATGCATGCCTTCATTTTGAAGTTTTGAAATTGTCTTTCATAAAAATTATACATGCATGTTCATATTTTTACAAGGGACCATGAACTCATCATGTTTTTGAAAGATTTGGCTCACTAGAGCATGAAATTGAAGCTTTGAAATGGTTTGAATTCATGCATGTTGCATGTTCATCCTGTTCTTGAAAATGGTCTGAAATTGAGTTTGAATTAAACACCCTTGGGCTTTGATTTCTCAAATTGAGCTTTGAATCATGTTTAACTATGTGTTTACAAATATTTTCTGGAAATTCAACCCAAGAGGTCGAGTTTTGAGTTGTTAAAACTTGGTTTTTGGCTTGGAGGTGCAATCTGGGTTTTCCAGATTTTGCACTTCCGCTCGAGCAAGGACTAGTGACGCTCGAGCGTGGAATCCGAGCATCCAGTATTTTCTCTGCACTGTTTTACAGTCCGCTCGAGCGGAGGATTGGACGCTCGAGCGGAGGCGTGTGTCTCACGATAGAGCGGGCGTCGAGCGTCCGTCGCGCGGAGATTTCACCCATCCAGTACTTTTACAGTACGCTCGAGCGGATACCGTATGGAAGTTCATTCAAGAAACCACTATACCGTATGGAAGTTCATTCAAGAAACCACTATACCGTATGGAAGTTCATTCAAGAAACCACTATACCGTATGGAAGTTCATTCAAGAAACCACTATACCGTATGGAAGTTCATTCAAGAAACCACTATACCGTATGGAAGTTCATTCAAGAAACCACTATACCGTATGGAAGTTCATTCAAGAAACCACTATACCGTATGGAAGTTCATTCAAGAAACCACTATACCGTATGGAAGTTCATTCAAGAAACCACTATACCGTATGGAAGTTCATTCAAGAAACCACTATACCGTATGGAAGTTCATTCAAGAAACCACTATACCGTATGGAAGTTCATTCAAGAAACCACTATACCGTATGGAAGTTCATTCAAGAAACCACTATACCGTATGGAAGTTCATTCAAGAAACCACTATACCGTATGGAAGTTCATTCAAGAAACCACTATACCGTATGGAAGTTCATTCAAGAAACCACTATACCGTATGGAAGTTCATTCAAGAAACCACTATACCGTATGGAAGTTCATTCAAGAAACCACTATACCGTATGGAAGTTCATTCAAGAAACCACTATACCGTATGGAAGTTCATTCAAGAAACCACTATACCGTATGGAAGTTCATTCAAGAAACCACTATACCGTATGGAAGTTCATTCAAGAAACCACTATACCGTATGGAAGTTCATTCAAGAAACCACTATACCGTATGGAAGTTCATTCAAGAAACCACTATACCGTATGGAAGTTCATTCAAGAAACCACTATACCGTATGGAAGTTCATTCAAGAAACCACTATACCGTATGGAAGTTCATTCAAGAAACCACTATACCGTATGGAAGTTCATTCAAGAAACCACTATACCGTATGGAAGTTCATTCAAGAAACCACTATACCGTATGGAAGTTCATTCAAGAAACCACTATACCGTATGGAAGTTCATTCAAGAAACCACTATACCGTATGGAAGTTCATTCAAGAAACCACTATACCGTATGGAAGTTCATTCAAGAAACCACTATACCGTATGGAAGTTCATTCAAGAAACCACTATACCGTATGGAAGTTCATTCAAGAAACCACTATACCGTATGGAAGTTCATTCAAGAAACCACTATACCGTATGGAAGTTCATTCAAGAAACCACTATACCGTATGGAAGTTCATTCAAGAAACCACTATACCGTATGGAAGTTCATTCAAGAAACCACTATACCGTATGGAAGTTCATTCAAGAAACCACTATACCGTATGGAAGTTCATTCAAGAAACCACTATACCGTATGGAAGTTCATTCAAGAAACCACTATACCGTATGGAAGTTCATTCAAGAAACCACTATACCGTATGGAAGTTCATTCAAGAAACCACTATACCGTATGGAAGTTCATTCAAGAAACCACTATACCGTATGGAAGTTCATTCAAGAAACCACTATACCGTATGGAAGTTCATTCAAGAAACCACTATACCGTATGGAAGTTCATTCAAGAAACCACTATACCGTATGGAAGTTCATTCAAGAAACCACTATACCGTATGGAAGTTCATTCAAGAAACCACTATACCGTATGGAAGTTCATTCAAGAAACCACTATACCGTATGGAAGTTCATTCAAGAAACCACTATACCGTATGGAAGTTCATTCAAGAAACCACTATACCGTATGGAAGTTCATTCAAGAAACCACTATACCGTATGGAAGTTCATTCAAGAAACCACTATACCGTATGGAAGTTCATTCAAGAAACCACTATACCGTATGGAAGTTCATTCAAGAAACCACTATACCGTATGGAAGTTCATTCAAGAAACCACTATACCGTATGGAAGTTCATTCAAGAAACCACTATACCGTATGGAAGTTCATTCAAGAAACCACTATACCGTATGGAAGTTCATTCAAGAAACCACTATACCGTATGGAAGTTCATTCAAGAAACCACTATACCGTATGGAAGTTCATTCAAGAAACCACTATACCGTATGGAAGTTCATTCAAGAAACCACTATACCGTATGGAAGTTCATTCAAGAAACCACTATACCGTAT